ACTATGTAATGTTAGGAAGGGGGCTGGAAGTTAATGTTTACCATAATTAAGCCCATCTGTACTGTGCTGGAGGATCTCATCATCAGTTCTAGACTAGATTTGAGCAATGTCTGTCCTAACAAAGGGTTAAAGATCTCCGTGGCTTGGGTTATGAAAGGGAACTGAGTCTTTCCCCACTGCGCCCCCCTCCACTTCCACATTGTACAGAGAAGCCCGCAGTCGGCCCGGAGGCCAGCTCCAAAGAAACACCTAACAGGTAAGGTTTAAAAAAGTATTTTTCGTTTTGCTGTGTGAATGGGAACATATAACAAACATATAGAGGGCAGTGGCGTAACAATCACCATAGCGACCCAGGCGGTCGCTATGGGGCCCGGCCAGATGCCGTGCGGGCCGCCTGGGTCGCTATGGGATCCTCTGCTGGTGGCTTTGTTTCTCAAATTTAACTGGAAAGATGGAAATACACTTTAAAGGGGCCGCTGCAATCCTCTAGAATGGAGCAGAATAATATACCGCCCTCCATTATTCATTATGGACTTCATAGACCCCGCTTTGGTGCTTTCCTCCATCTACCTTTAAATGGCTCTAGTCCTCTGGAAAGTAAAGGAAATGTCTCTATAGCAAATGAAACACCAAACTCTGACCAATACTCCAAGTTGTCCACACCCCTATCACTGTAGGTCAGCCTTTCTCAACCAGGGTTCCATTGAGTCTTATGGTTCCTCATGACTCGGGGGTTCCTCGGGGTTCCTTGAGCAGTGACCATCCACACCGACCACCAATGCAAGAGGCCAATCTTCCACTTACAACCAATGTAAGGGGGCAGATCTGTACTGACCAGATGTCGGGAGACCTCATCATTTTTACTGTCTGAGTTATTTAACTTGAATAATATTACTAGGGGGGGTTGGGTGGTGTTGTCAAATACTTTAGATCGCCCTTCTCAATCAGTGCCATGGCACTGGTGTGCCTCCTGACCTTCTCAGGGGTTCCTCAACATTTTGTAGTACTGGGACTTGGACATGAAGGGGGAATGAAGAAGGATGTGAAGGGGGGCTCTGATGTGAAAGGGGAGGGGGACTCTGATATGAAATTAGGGTTCCTCATATGAATGGGGACTACTGATATGATTATGATGGGGGGCTACTGATATGATGGGGGGCTACTGATATGATGGGGGGCTACTGATATGATGGGGGGCTACTGATATGATGGGGGGCTACTGATATGATGGGGGGCTACTGATATGATGGGGGGCTACTGATATGATGGGGGGCTACTGATATGATGGGGGGCTACTGATATGATGGGGGGCTACTGATATGATGGGGGGCTACTGATATGATGGGGGGCTACTGATATGATGGGGGGCTACTGATGCAAAGGATGACTCTGATGTGAAGAGAGGGGAAATCTTGATTTGAGGGGGGCACTTCAATGTGAAGGGGAAACCAACTTTTTTTGTGTGTTGTTGCGTGTGGTCTCCATTTAAAGTCTATGACATTTTAGACTGTTGTGCCTTCAAACGGTTGATCAGGCCAATGTACCGGGAGCTGTAGGTAGGTTCCTCAAAACCTGAAGTATCTTTCAAGGGTTCCTCCAGGGCAGAAAGGTTAAGAAAGGCTACTTTAGGTTATTAGTAATGTCGGTCTTCCCGTCCTGTTACCAATCTATCTGGGCCTCTCATTTCTTGTGCTGCTTTTATAAACTGATGCTGAAACAGGAAGCGAGGTGAAATTTCCCCAAAGTCTTCCCAAGTCTATCTAAAACCAAAAGAAAAGGTTGTGAGCTAAAAAATGATCTGAAAAACGAAAAAAAAAAGTTTCTGCATTATTGTTTGAACAGATAAATACACTATATTACCAAAAGTATTGGGACGCCTTTACACGCACATGAACTCTAATGGCATCCCAGTCTTAGTCCGTAGGGTTCAGTATTGGATTGGCTCCGCCCTTTGCCGCTATAACAGCCCCGCCTCTTCTGGGAAGGCGTGCACAAGGTTTAGGAGTGTGTCTATGGGAATGTTGGACCATTTGTGAGGTCAGGTACTGATGTTGGGGGAGGGGCTCGCAGTCTCCGCCTCTAATTCATCCCAAAGGTGTTCTATGGGGTTGAGGTCAGGACTCTGTGCGGCCGGTCAAGTTCCTCCCCCCCAAACTCCCCCATCCATGTCTTTATGGACCTTGGTTTGTGCACTGGTGCGCAGTCATGTTGGAACAGGAAGTGGCCGTCCCCAAACTGTGCCCACAAAGTTGGGAGCATAAAAATGTCCAAAATGTCTTAGTATGCTGATGTCTTAAGAGTTCCCTTCACTGGAACTAAGGAGCGGAGCCCAACCCCCGAAAAACACCCCCTCCCCTTGATTTGGAGGGGGAGGGGCCCAATACTTTTGGCAATATAGTGTATATCATTTCCCAGGTTGTGTGCTGTGTTCAGATTTAGAATTGTGTTCTTCCATTAGAAGTCAAAAGTCAAAAACAGAAATAGTTTTGTTCAGAAGAAGCCTCCACCTCCTCCTCCTCCACCACCGTCATCATCATCATCATTGTCCCTTCCAGCCCTCTCCTTCTTCTTGGGGCTCTCCATTTTGTACTTTATCCTGCGGATCGGGTCGCTGATACTCCTGGAGGCGGTTGAATCACAGAATTCCGCTGCCAAGAAGCTCCTGTCAACGATCTCAGACACTTCCTGCCAGTTCTGGAAGCAGGGAGGACCCAGGCGTACAACTTCATCCACTGCATTAGGGGAGATCACCTGTCCAGAGGGTTTGAGGACTACAAGGACCGGCACTTGCGAAACCGAGAACTGGACTTCAAGGTCCCTAAAAAAAGAAAAAGAGCAAAGAATAATACAAGGAGGTTATAGGATGGGAGGTCATTCTCCTCTATGTTATGGAGGAGAGGAGAGGTGCTCTGTAGTCCACTCCTAGGGTGACAACGCTGCTCCTCTATAGATACAGTACAGTGGGTGAGCGTTGTCACTCTAGGACAGGAAGTGTGCTACTGGCAAGTGAATATAAAGGTAAAAAGGCTACAAAAATGTATACCCCCACCATACCAGGAACATACCCCAACATTTATACCCCCACCATACCAGGAACATACCCCAACATTTATACCCCCACCATACCAGGAACATACCCCAACATTTATACCCCCACCATTCCAGGAACATACCCCAACACTGATACCCCACCATACCAGGAACATACCCCAACATTTATACCCCCACCATACCAGGAACATACCCCAGCATTTCTACCACCACCATGCCAGGAACATACCCCAGCATTTATACCCCCACCATACCAGGAACATACCCCAGCATTTATACCCACGCATACCAGGAACATACCCCAACATTTATACCCCCACCACACCAGGAACATATGCCAGCATTTATACCTCCACCATACCAAAGAAAACATACCCCAACATTTATACCCCCACCATTCCAGGAACATACCCCAGCATTTATACCTCCACCATACCAGGAACATACCCAACATTTATACCCCCACCATACCAGGAACATACCCCAGCATTTCTACCACCACCATGCCAGGAACATACCCCAACATTTATACCCCCATCATACCAGGAACATACCCCAACACTGATACCCCACCATACCAGGAACATACCCCTACATTTGTACCCCACCATACCAGGAACATACCCCTACATTTGTACCCCACCATACCAGGAACATACCCCAACACACCAAACAAGCAGGTAGCCCTTGCAGTACTGGGGCAGACCCACTGCAAGAGTTAATTTTTTTTTTTTAATCACGGAGTTCCTCATTAAGGTTTGCACAAAGTTTTCATTTTCCATCATTGTCATTGTTTGAACATCTTTGTTGGCAGAAATGTAGAAAAACTCCCTAATATTTAGCCTGAGAAAGGGAAGAAGCTGAAAGCCCGCCCCCTCTCCCCTCCCCCCATACATATAAAATACAGGCTGGGCTAACACTCCATACAATAAAAGATAATGACTCTGTGACACTTCCTATACAATGTCACTCCGGGAATAATCACATCCTACGAGCACTAATCCATAACTAAACCCGGATTACTGGGAAATGGGACACCCGCGATGTACAGTAAGAGCATAATTACTAGGATTGGGAACAATCTGTTTAATATTATATCACACGAATGGGATTAAAGACGTAAAGCCATTTATCGTGATTTCAGGAGGAAATTATCGCTGCGAATATTAACCATTTCAGCTCCCGCGCCTGTTCATCCCCTGTGAACTAGAACAGCGTTCACATTGCAGCAATGGGCCTGCCAATTTGGCAAACCTTTGTCAGCAAAATTCAAATAATATACATATATATATTAGGGATGCACCGATACCAATGTCCGATACCGATATCAATGCCGGTGCTGATACTGGCCATTTTCATGTTCTCGTACTTGTAAAAATCCCCCGATACCAAAAACTGATACCCTCGTTTTAATCTTTCAAATGGAAGCAGCTGCCTGAGGTCCCGCGCTTGCTGGGGACCTTGTGGCAGCCTTCTTAGGAACCATGCGGCAACTGTTTACAGCACTTCCGCCAACCCACACATCTCCCTCTCCTGAGACCCTCCCCACCCCTACTGAGACCCTCTGCACCCCTGCTGAGACCCTCTGCACCCCTGCTGAGACCCTCTGCACCCCTGCTGAGACCCTCTGCACCCCTCCTGGGACCCTCCACACTGCTCCGGAGACCCTCCGCCAAAGACATCAGGCCTTCAACCCGGAGCAGAGTTTGTAGCAAATTCATATACTATTATTCTGCATTGCTATATAATGTATTGCTGGGATTTGTAGTCCTCTATAGCTCATGGTGTTCTGCATTGCTGTATAATGTATTGCTGGGATTTGTAGTCCTCGATAGCTGATGGTAGTATTCTGCATTGCTGTATAATGTATTGCTGGGATTTGTAGTCCTCCATAGCGGATAGTATTATTCTGCATTGCTATATAATGTATTGCTGGGATTTGTAGTCCTCCATAGCGGATAGTATTATTCTGCATTGCTGTATAAAGTATTGCTGGGAGTTGTAGTTCCCTATAGCTGAAGGTATTATTCTGCATTGCTGTATAAAGTATTGCTGGGAGTTGTAGTTCCCTATAGCTGAAGGTATTATTCTGTGCTGAGACCCTCTGCACCCCTGCTGAGACCCTCTGCACCCCTCCTGGGACCCTCCACACTGCTCCGGAGACCCTCCGCCAAAGACATCAGGCCTTCAACCCGGAGCAGAGTTTGTAGCAAATTCATATACTATTATTCTGCATTGCTATATAATGTATTGCTGGGATTTGTAGTCCTCTATAGCTCATGGTGTTCTGCATTTGTAGTCCTCCATAGCGGATAGTATTATTCTGCATTGCTGTATAAAGTATTGCTGGGAGTTGTAGTTCCCTATAGCTGAAGGTATTATTCTGCATTGCTGTATAACGGATTGCTGGGATTTGTAGTCCTCTCTAAGCTGATATTATTATTTTGCATTGCCGTATAATGTGTTGCTGTGATTTGTAGTCCACTATAGTTGATGGTATTTTGCTTTGCTTGATAATGGATTGCTGGGATTTGTAGTCCTGACAGGGGTTCTAATCCAAAACTAGAAAAAAGTTTTGGCTTCAGTTGCACTTTAAAGTGTCAGTACTCCCAAATGTTTATTCTTTTTGTTGTGCCATTGCTCGTTTCTTTACCTACCCTATCCTTAGATAGTAAGTATCTGTTTGAGCCTCTCATTAACCTCTACTTCCTTATTGAAAGTGGCAACACTATTCCAGCCGCTCCTCCATCTTCAAGGTTGCCACTCTCACTGCGCATGCTCCAGTTTTACCCTAAGGGGGGGAAATCGTACTCTGCTCTGAGCCCGAGCTTTATATGAAAGAACACATCCCCCGCATCCCTTTAGATGTGCATGCTCCTACCTGCTGTCCGCTGGGTGTTGCAGACATTAGCTGTACAATCCATTCCAGAAGCATGTCTGAGAGAGTGTAATCAAGCAAATGACCAGCAGATGGAGCAGCTAAAGTCTGCAGCACCCAGTGGCCAGCATGGAGGAGTATGCAGGTCTAAAGGGATGTCGGGGGATGAGTTGATTCATATAACGCTAAGGGTTAGAAAGAGCTTGGTCACATGCTGAAACCAATCTCTGCCCCACTATCAGATAGTGAGGTGTGGGGGTACATGGGCTACATCACATGACCTCCAAATAAAAGGGTAAAAACAGCTTGAGCCGTGAACTTAGTGAAATTATGTGATATAAGGCCAGTGATTGTTACAGTTTTATGTAATATTGATAAGCGGTAAGCAGTTTTATTATACACTTTAATAAAGGGGTCCTACAGGGCCACAGTTTGTCTTTTGCCCATGTCTTACAGGGCTGTCTTTACCGTGGGGCAAAAGGGGCAGTTGCACCAGGCCCAGTCATTGTTGTGGGGCCCAAAGCAGCTGCCCCTTCAGAATGCAAAAGATACACACGCGGCACTGCATGGTGTTGCTCCGCCCCCCTGCCATACGCCGCATAGCGTGATCGCCTGACGTCTCCCACAGGGTCACGTCTCCATATGATGTCTCCTCCTATCTGCTCTACAAGAGGGGTGGGGTGTGGT